CGCGACTTAGGATTACTGAGGACATGGCCCTTGACAGGGAATTGTGGAGGTCGAGCATTAAGGTTGTAGGTTAGGGGAAACTTGTGAATATTTCTACAGCACAATAGATTGAGACTAGCCAGTTAGGAGTTAGACTAAGAATGTCATTGGTCGTCTATTGATGCAGGGCTTTACCTGTTAATTGTACTATACCAACCATCTATTTCGTATTTGTATTCTGTATTTCATATCTCTTATATTGCTGGTATTTTATTATGCATTTTTATGGTACTAATATATCGGCTCCTGTTGCTTTTTTGAGCCGAGGGTCTCCTGGAAACAGCCTCTCTACCCTTCGGGGTAGGGGTAAGGTCTGCGTACATATTACCCTCCCCAGACCCCACTTATGGGATTATACTGGGTCGTTATTGTTGTTGTTGTATGAAGGTCAAGGCTGAATGAGTACTCCAAAAGCCCGAATTGTCAACCATTTCTCTAGTGTTAAAAAAAAACTCCTAGGACCAAGTATGAAGCGCATATAAAATTGCCCACTCGCCCTTATTTTATTGATTTTGAAATTGAAGACATAGTCTCCTGGGAAAAGTCAGTCCAGTAGGTAGGGATTCTCTTAAACAAGAACAATAATCATATACAGACTACAGTGAAATACAGCTGAACAAGTTGGCATCATCTGTTAATTTTTCAAAATTTAAGTTGGTAGAATAAAAATGGCTTTCTAAGGTGCTCTAACTTATGCCACCACACAAATTGCATTATGTTACTACTACTATTTGGAGCATTAGACTTGAAAAGAATCAATAATCTCGCCTTAGGTGCTGCTGTTACCACTGTTGTATTACTGCTTCTTCGTTCTCGATACTTTAATGGCTCAAGCTCAATTGAACTCACAAATGGAGTTCTGCATTCCAAGAAAGCATTGAAAAATCACACCTGAGTTTTGCCACTACAATTATTTCTGGCCAGTGAAAGAGGAGCTTCTCTTATTTTTTGTTTTTCCAGTTTCTTTTTAAGCAAAAATTATATACTGATAAACTCTGAATTTTAAATCAAATACTTATTTTGGTTGATGTTTAAATAAGTGTTTATTTCCTATTTAAGACTTAAGGTTTAGAGAAGTGGTTTAGGCCTCATTTGTTTGCACTACTTAATGGAGGTCTGCATCTTAATCATTCAGATCTCAGACATTAAGTGCGTTTGTTTTTAAAGTCTGAATCTTAATTATTCAGATCTTAATCATTAAGTGTGTTTGTTTTTTTACTTCACAACCACTTAGTGGGTCTGAACAGGTCTGTATGATTAAGATCTATAACAAAGACTTAATTTCATTAAGATGTTATCACATATTCATCATTAACTTCCGCCACCGCCTACCATTATTAACTACCACCATGACGCCGCCGCCGCCACCACCACCACCATCATCCTCAATCATAGCCTCCATTATCGACCATCACCACCTACTATCCCCACCACTCTGACCACCATCATTCTCACCCACAATCAATACTCATCCACCTCAACTACCACAAACTGACCACCCCATCACCATCAACAACCACAACCGGCACTGCTAATCATTATAACCTACCACCACCCACCCACCACCTCCCTCAATCACAGCTACTACTACCACCCGACATTATTAACTATCACCACCCACCATCACCATCCTCAATCATAATCGCTGCCACTACCAATCACTACTAGCTACTAGCATGAACCACCATCATCAACCAAAACTACCACCAACCACCGCATCTAGTCGGCATTCACCCATTAGCCATCACCACCAACAACTATCATATTTTTAAAAACTATATATTTTATTGATAAAATATTATATTAGTTAGTATTTCATTTGAATTTTATGCTTATTAATTTTCAAATAAAGATAAATTTTATTCATTCAGATGTTAAAAATCAAACAGTCTTAATTATTTCCATTCAGATCTTAATACACATCTTAATATATTCAGATGTGTATTCAGATTCAGATGTCTTAATATTAATACACATCTTGAATTTCAGATATGTATTCAGATTCAGACGTCTTAATCTTAAAAAAAAAAACAAATGAGGCATTAGATATTTTCACTTATTTTAAATCAAACAAATACATCTCTATACTATAGATATCTCTCACAAATATAATGATAATAATGTTATCTCCATTTTTCTAATAAAAAATATTTAAAAACAGAAAAATAAATAATCAAACAAAATAAACTCTGGAATTCATATATAATAAAATATTACAATAGCTTCCATGTTTTAAAAAAAAATATTACTGTTAATATGTGGTTATTTCCTATTTAAGAAGTTTGAAAGATATATGTTTCAGAAAATATTTATCCTTTTTAAATTTCACAAAATTAATTGTGTAACAACTTGTTAATTGAAATTTTAATTTTACTTTAATATACTTAGTTACAATATCAAAGCTAATACTTCTGTGACATCTCATATTATAGAGGGTGTAAGAGTTTGATTGTAAAATGCAAGTGGTGTATTTGCAATTGAATCATATTATAAGAGTGTTTAGCATATTTTACTTTAAGAAAATAATATTAACAAAAATCACACATTTGATTTAATCAAAGATCAGAAAAAGCTGAGTGGAATAATATTAGGATCAAAACAAGAAACACATATTAACTCAACGACTAAAATAAGAATTTTCTCATTTTATATTATATATTATACTTTAATAGAAAAATTAACCTAAATAGCTGCTCAATCAATAATCATGTCTCAGTCTTAGGACTTCTTTGTGCATTAGAAGATTCAATTGAATCTGTAACAGAGGCACCTAATTTGGATTTCATTATTAAAAAGAAAGATTCTTAACTAAGTGTATCTAAACCAAAGCCAAGAAATCATCATCATCCTTGATAGGCTTTAAACAGTAGAAGGAAATTTTTTTAGCTTCAGTGGAAAATATAAAAATCACCAGCCTTGTTCGTTCCATGAGTTTACCTACTACATTATCTCATCCTCTTATTGCAAGTGCAGAAGAGCATTTGCAAAGGTTGGAGTCGACTGAAGGTACCTCCCACATCTTCTCCCACCAATATGCCAGAGATTGGATGGTCTTAGAAGATCGTATGAGCGAGTAGACGACGTGCTCCAGTTGCCATTCAGCCAATAAGTTCTCTGCCATGAAAAGCATACCATGTGAGTGGAACAAATCTCTAACAGGTCTCTCAACTTTCTGCTATTTCGTTACAGTTCTTATCTATTTGAGTTTTAATAGTCTATTGAGGCTAACATTTAATGTAAATGGCTATTATTAGTTGCCAGTACCAGCAGGATCAATAATTGTGTACTAAACAGAGAGGCAAGCGCATTAAAATTCAAAGGACAAAACCATATGTTTAACTCAAATGAATATTCTACTTACTTCTTTTAGATATGCCATAAACCAATTAAGTTTAACAGGGTTAAACAGTGTAGAACTAGCAGATTGTCTGAACAGATGCCTGTCAAATCCTTCTTGCATTCAAGGTGTCTTTCCAGATCATAGCTTTCGTTACTCTTAAGCCGTTAATTTAGAAAATAATCTGATGAATATTTTCCAGAAAGAACTGTAAAACAACCAATTGCTGACTGGCCTTATTAGCCTCAGTATTAGGCTCGGGTAGATTCTATTCTGTATTGTCACGACTCAACAGCGGTTGTGCGCATAAGAGGGCTTCACCCATCATAGCAAGCGTTCGAATCTTTAAAAATTTCGACAAAATCTTCCCTGTAACTGAGACAAATTCCATCTTTGTACCTGTCTCATATCATCCAAACTACATCACTCAACAGTCCCAAGATTCACATCATTCATTTCACGCGTAATAAGCAAGATGCTAGACTAGCAAAATATATATAACAGTGTCTCTTTTTTTCCCTTTTATTGTTTTAACACAGTCTACCGCATTACAAAGTTACAACCACCCAAAAGGTCCGCGGATCAATACAACTAAGAGTTTTCAATAACTGTGTAACTGAAACATAACAACAGAAAAAGAGGAAGTGGAACCAGCATCACCCATGGAAGGAAACGTACGGCTCAGCACTGAAGTACACTGGCTCTAGCTCAAGTCTCGGTATAGGAATGAACACTTGTATCTGTAGACATAAAAGTAAGGAATGAGTTCACTGACTCAACAAGTGATAACTAATTCATAACGGGGTAAGAGTTTCAGAAAANAGAGAAAACGGCCAAAATTATTTTTGAATTCGGTCCCAAAAAAAGTCTGTACCGCTAGCCCATTGGAACACTTATGCCCCTCAAAACTAACGGACTCACATCAGCCGTTTCCTTCTCTTGCCCATATCTGTGAAAATTCATTCTAAGAAAGAATAAAGATTCTAATCAATCTCACCCTTTACATCTTCACACAGATTACTCTTCATCATCATATCCAAATCATCTTCTATCCTGTACTCGCAGCCAAGTTTGCCATCAGTTTCATTCATTTACTCCACTTTCAACTCAAACAGAAATTCTCTCAAACACCTACTGTGCAGCCACTTTTAAAGGCCACTCCTCCTATGATCACTCCGGGAAAACTTGGCTGCGAGTACAGAAAATCATTCATCAGAAATCCATAGTCATATTTGGGAATAAGCTCTTCAGTGCTCACAAAGATCACAAAATTCGCGTCTGAAAAGTTGACAACGACACACCAAATTTTAATCCAACTAAGTTAAAGCTACTGTACTAAAACTACTCCAAATGTTGATCAACTAATTTAATTTAAAAACGTGTTTATCAGAATAATATCCAGCCTTCAAATATTGAAACAAAACTTTAAGAGCCTGTTTATTGTATATATATACCTGATTGAGCTAGGAAATAGCTTTGGATATATCATCAGGAAAGGAGCCACAAGCCTGCGTTTGAATATCATCACTATTCAACTGCTCCAGCAAATCCTTAAACTGTAATCAGACAAAAACAGAAGGAACAAATAAGTTTTTGACATAATGTTAACAACTTTCAGTTAAGCATATTCACAAACAGTTTGAGAACTGTACCTTGGCCATACTAATAAACAGATGAAAGTTCGAAAATGAGTCGGCGAGTTCTGAAAATTACAGATGAATGATATAGGCCATTTTATAAAGACATCTTTACACAAATGGCCATCTGGTTTCACTGTCTGCTTTATTGGTTATATGTTAAAGCTCTGGACCATCTCTAAATAAGAGAAAATATAGGCCATTTTACAAAGACATCTTTTACACAAATAGCCATCTGAGTTCACTGTGTGCTTTATTGGTTATATATATATATATATATATATGTTAAAGCACCTCGTGTAAATTTTATACCAGGTATAGTTAAAAAAAAAAAGGGGATTTGGCGTGGCATGTCAACTAACGTATTGTTTGGATGGTTGTTTCCGGTTGTATTGTTACCCCAGATACAATGTTTGTTTTGATTGTTAATATAAAGCTAATTGTATCGTATTGTTAAATCCATTGTTCCAGAACAGTGAAAACCCCCATTTTATGAAACAACCAAATCGGTCTGGTGGGATTGTTCTGTATTTTCCTTTCCAATTATGTCTACACTTATTATTCTATATTTCAATTTTACTCTTTACCCTATAATTTATATCATATTCACCAAACTAATAAGTACTTCGTCTCCATCTTCTTTCTGCCGTGCAACTAGTCAACAACGTACTTCCCTAGTCCTCGTCTCTTTCCAACAAAGTTTTTACAGATTAGTTTTCATCTCTTTTCTTAACTAATTCCATTGTTGCTAAGGGAATTTTCCTCTAAATAATAAGTGCCTAGAAAAAATTGGCTGAAAAAGGTATCATTTATATACACGGCAATAATATCTACAGCATTATCTTTGCTTACATCCCAAAAATCTGAAATAATTTATGTAGTGACATTTGGTTGAAATTTTGTTTTTCTAAATATCTATTCAATTTCTTCTGCTTAATCAAGATTCGTACCTTGTCTTCTCCATAACTTATTAATAACACTTTTTCTCAAACAATACGTTAGTTTTCCATCTCTTTTCTTGTGTATTTTTTCTGGTTAGTTCATCTATGATATTTGCAAACTATATGTTCTGGTGATATAATTTATCAAGTTAATATCATGGTTTAAAGTGTAGCACCAAGTTATTAGTTTGATACAGTCAAAACCGACAAAAAATATAAAACATGAATTATNCAAGCATCGTATTTAAAATAATTGAGGGTGTTTTAGTAAACTTAGCAGTACAGTACAATACAATACAATCAAACCAAACAATAAAGATGTTATTTAACAATAGCAAACGATACATTCTATCCAAACGTTGTATCCATCAAAACGATACAATACAATACATTATAAAACGATGAGAAACAATGATCCAAACACAGTGTCAATTAGCGTAAAAAAGCCAACGTTTTAGGATTTGGCATATGATAGCCTAAAGTTAATTTCTCTCTTCTAATGGTTCAACCACTATCCTAAAAATAAGCCCCATTAAGATTATTTTTCTTAAAAATAGCAAAAAATATTTAAAATCTTCTATCTCCTCTCATAGCAACCATCATCCTAGAAATTAGGTTTCATTATCTTTAGTAGTATCCGAAAAATTATTTTTCTAATTTTTTATCTGTATATCAAAATATATATAACACATTAATAATTATATTATTGTATATCATAGTGTATAACATAATAATAATAATGTGTATATCAAAAAATTATATTAAAATTTTATTTTCTTTCTTTGTATAATACGTTTCAGATTGAAAACTCAAGTTCAAGACGACTCCACATGTGTATTCCTTATTGTATCCCATGTATATCTCTATGTACATCAGTGATATCTTATATATATCGTGTGTATCTGTGTATATCCATGAATATTTGTGTTATCTATGCGATATACAAAGTGATATACACGGGTCCATAAACAAATTATGTTGTATACATGATATACAAAGTGATATACACAGACGTCCTTAAAATTTGTGTGTGATTACACTGATGTACACGATATACAACGTGATATACACATATCGCAGTTGAATTTTTAGGTCTGATTTTTTTACCTGAAACTAGTCTAAATCACTTCTAATCTTGCTCAAATTTTGTATATAGCTTCGTTTAGGTATTTTCAACTAATTTCAATCACACTCACTCGTTCAATCCAACCCAAAAAAGAAGAGAGAAGAAAAACAAAGTTGAAATGTATTTTCTCTCTCTCTTAGTTTTTGCTTCTAATTTTCCCTGATATGAGATTAACATTACCTTTTTATCTCACTGATTTTTTTGCATAATTTGCAAGAATTTTTTCTAAACTATGAGAGGGAAAGAGAAGAGAAAGAAGAAGAAATACAATGAGAGAAATGAGAGGGAAGCCAAACTAAGTGAGTAGTTTTTTTTAGAGAGAATATATAAGGAGAAAACTACCTTGTATAGCCCTGCAAAATTTTAATAGCCCAAGTTTTTCCCCTTGGACCCGAAATGTCCCTCCGGCCCAAACTTATTACATCTACTAGCTCATAATTCATAAAACACTCACGCCTTTTAACTCGCTCTGTTAACTCGGCTCTCTCAAAACACCTTTCTTCTCAAACACAGCTTCTGCATTTTACTCTTTGTTTCAATGTAGGTCAAAATTCATTTGGTTTTTCGATTTTTGTTCGTAGTCGACTCTAGGTTTTCCGATTTTTGTTCATAGTCGTCTCTATAATGGGGGAAAAGAAGTCTTTGAAGACAAAAAGGAAGATGAAGGCATCTCCAAATTCTCTGAAATTAGACGGTCAATTAGTGAAATATAACCCTAATTTCATTAGGAATGATGATGACGATTTTGGAGATTTACCAGAATTTGGGTGCGATTTGGGGCATGCAACCCATAAATCTGTTGAAGCAATGCAAAATACCCCTAGTGAAGGAAAGCAAAATACCCTTGTTGATAGAAGGACTCGTTCTCATAGCGGGACTCCCAGCGATAGAGTAACGAGGTCACACACTGCTTAGCATGTAGTTGTTGAAAAAGGCACAAGTTCAAAAAGAAAGATTAAAATAGTGGGAAAGGATATTGTGAAGGACAAGGGTAAAAGTTCTAAAAGGAAGACTAAAAGTGATGGGGATGATGTTCCATCAAAAAAGAGAAAAGTTCATGCTGATCAAAAATGTTCTAGCTCATCTGATTTGAAGGTATTTTCTAATGTATAACTTTGACTTGTATGCGGTTAGTTTATTTTAGTATGTAGAAATTTAACCAATATAGCAGTTATGTTCCAAATTTATATATAAAATGTATCATTCTTTTCATATTGTATATAATGTGTATCAAGTCAATAAGTAATGTGCAACTTTTGTATATAAAGTGTATCATCTATCACATATTGTATAAGTAATGTTTAAAGTGCGTAATTGTGATAGTTATGAAGCTTATATATATTTATATTTTTGTGTTGTTTGCAGCTTTGGGATTACTATGTTCCTTTAGGTGATCATTATAGTACCCGTATCAGTGTGGATATAAAATGTAGTGTAGTGAAATATTTGAAAGATAATTTGGATGATCAACAGATTGAGATGTTTAGAAGAACATGTTTTGGTTATTTTGTCGACTTGCCCGAATTTTTTATACAGAACCAACGTATCCATTCACTATTGCTTAGGGAAGTAGTGTCACCCAAAGATAATGAGTTATGGATTAAAGTGAATAGCACCAAGTTGCGCTTTGGACTTGCAGAGATTTGTATTATCACAGGTTTAAAGTGTAATGGTGATCCCAATAAGGATTATGAATCTGTCCAATCGAGTCGGTTGATGGAATTGTACTTTCCAAGCATGTCCAAAGTGTCTAAGAAATTGTTAACTAACTGTTTCTTAAAAAAGATGTGGAAATCTGATGAGGATGCATTAAAGATTGCAGTATTGTATTTCATTCACAGTTTCCTGTTTTCTATTACGAATGATGATTTGATTACAAAGAATGATTTTCTGTTGGTTGAATCTAGTGATTTTGAGACTTTCCCTTGGGGAAAAGTGGGTTTTAATGCTACATTGGAGTCAATGAAGGATAAGGTTCGTAGCAAAAGAGAGATGTATCGATATGGTGGTTTGCCTTTGGCATTCCAGTGTTGATTTTATGAATGTTGCCCCTATACTCGCAAAAACCTCGCTTGCCGGATTGGAGATCTTGTGCCACACATACTTAACTGGAAAGTAAATAAGAAGGTGACGTTTAAGAGGTTGAGGATTGAGTTTTTTCTTTTAAGTCAGGAGCAGGTAAAAAATATACATTTTTGATACATAAATTATACATTTCTGATACATGAATTATGCATTTCTGATACATTTATTATACATTTCTGATACATGAATTATGCATTCTGATACATTTTTGATACATTTTTGATACATTTTTGATACATTAATTATGCATTTCTGATACATAAGTTGTCTTTTAAAAAAAAAATCATGATTGCTAACTTTTATTTATTTATTTGCAGCTGGTGTTTGGTAACATTTTCCCAACAAATGATGAACAAACAAGGCTTCAATTGCATGACTTTGTCCCGGTTTGTGAAGATAAAAATGAGATTTATATTGAATCTGGAGTCGTGGCTGATGTCGCGCCCCTTTTTTCTTGCGAAATCGGGCTTGCGACATTTGGGAGGGCAACTCGTTCCCTTTTTGGGAATTAGGTTTTTGATTTGAAGAGTCGTCGCCTAATGATTAAGTGCATTGGGACACTAAGAAGGGTTTGAGTTCGAAAAATCAGAGTTTGGGTAAGGGCTAGAAATTAGCTCGAGGGGAAGGTGTTAGGCGTCCCTCAAGATCCACTAGTGTGGTTCCCGGTCATGTTATAATTGTGACTGCACATAATCAAGTAAGCAATTAAGGGCTCAAATAGAAGGGTCTTGCATATAATATTGCAAATAAGCTGAAATTTTGAGTAAAGAGGGCAGAAATTTATGAAAGATTTAAACAATTCTAAAGAAAGCAGATAAAAGCAAGTAAAAGGGAGGGGGTCCTAGGTTTAT